TGTTATTATTATTATTATTATTATTTTGATTTTGATTTTTTCTGTCATAAGGATGATATCTATTTCCTTGATTATTGTATCCACCTCTTCCTCTTGATGTATTGTATCTATTGTTTCTGTAATTGTTGGTATTGTTTTGATTTTTGCAAAGTATTGTATGGTGTTTTTGTCTACAATTTTTACATGTCCATCTGCTAATGCAGTTATATGCTCGATGTCCAGTCTTTAGACAATTGTTGCATAACTGTTTTAAATTAACAATTTCATATTTCTTTTGTAATGGAGCCTGACAATGGAAGAAGGGGTGTTTTCCTTCACAAAAGAGACATGGTCTTTTTTGACCCTCCTCTACGTTGATTGGTTTTTCTATTTTTTCTTTTTTAATTTCTGGAGTTGTTTCTATTTTTTCTTCAGTCTGTTGTGGTTTTTCTGATTTTACAGATACTGGAGCAGCCGTAGGTGTTTCTGTAACAATTTTTTCTATTTCAATTTTTACTTCCGATTTCATTGTTTTTGGCTGTGCAATCTTTTCCTCTGATATGATTTTTGCGCCAGCTCTAAAGAGAGACAATTTTTCTTTGTATGCATGATTTTGATTTTGTTTTTTAATACGATCGCTAAAGTAACTCGTGTACCAACCATATTGTAATTCAGGATATTCTTCCCATGCTTTTTTGCGCCAGCTCTAAAGAGAGACAATTTTTTTTTGTATGCATGATTTTGATTTTGTTTTTTAATACGATCGCTAAAGTAACTCGTGTACCAACCATATTGTAATTCAGGATATTCTTCCCATGCCTGTAATGTTGCTTTTGTAAGTTTTCTTGAAGATATTTGCCTATGAATATGGCCTTCTAATATGGATAGTATATTTCCTTGATTTAAGTGATCCAACACAGTTGGCCACAGTTTTTCATGTATGGTTTTGATATCCACGTTTAAATTTTTTAAAGTTGCCATTTGTTTTTTCACTTCTTCAAGATATGACGCACATTGTTTGTATGAATCATCTGGTTGGGGTAAATTTTCTATTTCTTGTAATATTAATCTTTTTTGTTCAGACACATTTCCATATGAATCAAATAATATTCTTAATGCTTCGAGATAGGCAATATAATCGTTTCTTCCTCTATAGTGCTTTACTTTTTGCAAGGCTTCGCCATCTAAATGTAACAGTAAGAGATGGATTCTTTGTATCGGCTGCAATTGGTCTTTTGGTGCTTCGTTCACTTTTCTGAATTGAGTCCATACTTGGTCAAAATTAATTTTATCTTCCATTGTCCCTTCAAATTTTAGATCTTTTACATATGTTTTTTCATAATCTTTAATAAATGCTTGTTCTTGATTGTTTGGAAAGTGTATTCTGGTTCCTGTTCCATAATTTTTGAGTTCACTTCTTAATGATCCTTTTAATTGATTGAGATCAACCCCAAATTTTGTTTGTTTTTCTAGGAGCTCATTAATATCTGGATCAGATTGAATTGGTTCTTGGTGATCTTTTTTAGACAAGATTTTTTCAAGTATTGGTGAGATTTCTTTTTCCAATTCTTCTTGTTTGTTTATTATTTGCGATTTTTGAGATATTTTTTCTTGTTTTTCATTAATTGTATTTTCTTTTGATTTTTTATTGATTTCAATGATGCTTTTAATATTTTGTGGAATTTCATCTATTTCAATTTTAAAAATCGTTTGAGCTTGCGGACGTATTTCTAAATAATTTTCTATTATTTGTTCAGTTTGTAATTTTGTCATTTTTTGTAATTCTTTTTCAAGAATTTGTATTTTTCCTGCGGTTTCTTTCCCATATTTTGTATGATCTCTTATGATCAAATCCATTGTCACGTCTATTAAATCTTGCAATATGTCTGTTATTATTTCGTGTTGATTTTCTTCATCAGAGTTCGTAAATGTCAGATCTGCAGCATTAATTGCTCTGGCTACTCTGAATATCAAGGACGTTACATGCTTTTTCTCTTCGTCATATGATATATTGTTTTTATTAAAGGAATGTTCGGATATATTATCATCTTGAGGAAAGGGTTCTTTTTCATTTATATCATTTCTAATTAATTTGTCATCAGAGCGCGGTTCGGAATTACATTGCGCTGATACCGTTGATGGAGTTGGTATGTCATTATTTTTATCAATTTCTTGATTATTGATATTGATATTTTGGTGGATGCCCATCTCGCCGGAGCTAATATGTGCTCCACTGAAAAATGAGCCAGTGTGCCCCTGCAGCCCCTCACTCCCCAAGCGCATCACTCTCTCCTTGAAGCAATTCTATGAGAGAGTTGAGACTGGTGGATGCCCATCTCGCCGGAGCTAATATGTGCTCCACTCAAAAATGAGCCAGTGTGCCCCTGCAGCCCCTCACTCCCCAAGTGCATCACTCTCTCCTTGAAGCAATTCTATGAGAGAGTTGAGACAGTGTGTTTAAGGGGTATAAACAGTGTATCAGGAAAGTGAGTACTCATTTACCTCCAAAACTTTGCTGTGAATAAATTCATAAAGGGAAACACATGAATACAGCTCCTTTGTGTTATCCTCATCCCATACATGCATCAATCAATTGAATTTCTTTTTTTATTAATTTTTCATTCAGTGATTCCAAAAGAGCCCCCAGCCAGGACTGCAGGAGGGGAACATTTCCTGTTTCCAACTTCAAAAATTTGGAGAAAATTAAATTTGAAATGGAACCTCAAATTTTTTCAAATGTAGCAAGTACCATTCAAATTCCAGCATTTTCTTTTTGGAACATCTAAAACAGTTTGTAAGTGATGGAGATACACCAGTGTTAAACACAAAAATGATTTTTGTACAAAAACTGAAAAACAATTATTTTTATTTTTCAATTTTTAGAGATTTATTTCAAAATAAAGAATATCTAAATTTGTAAAATTTCTGTGCACACACAGCCACATGGAAGTTTTTCTATTGTTAGAATAGTAAAAAGGTACAAAAAGCTTAATAACAGCCCATACCTTGTAGTAACTTACTGCAAGTTGAGGGAAGTGGTGTAAGCTCCCAGTAAAATACTGCAAGGTTATAGCACAGCCATAACCTTGCAGAAGAGTTCTGTGAGGTTATTGAAGTGTCATAACCTTGCAGAACTCTTCTGCGAGGTTGAGGCTGTGCTGTAACCTCGCAGAAGAGTTCTGTGAGGTTATGACACTTCAATAACCTTGCAGAACTCTTCTGCGAGGTTACAGGCTGTGCTGTCACCTCGCTATAGAGATATAGAGATAAAAATGCTAGAATAAATGCTAATTTGCCTGAGCATGAAATAGCATCACAAAACAGTTACCTAAAAGAAGGCATTACAGAGAAGGAACATGGAATATTTTACAATAAATTTATTCATAAACTCATCCGCACAACAAATTCTCCCCACATTTTCACATAACTGTAATGGGAAACCTCTGATATGGAAAAATCTCCTTTCAATGGAATTGAATACATTTTTCAGNTTTGACGAATTGGAGTGGCACACCTAAATGCTTTAGCGTTAGTTCGGTTACAAAGCGCGATTGAAAAAAACTAAAAGCACAGCTACCAATCCTGAACAATCGTCCATCAAACTGAGTAGTACCGCGATTTTCTGAAAACTTATTCAACAGATGAGAAGGGGGAGAACCAAGAAAGCCCGAACTTCTCACTGAATACAGCCTGAACACTCTTCCACTTTGCCTGACGAGTCCAACTCCATACTCTTTTTTTAATGCTTTGATTCCCGTTTCATCATTCCATATTGCGCTGATTTGCGAACCAAACATAATCGCAGTGAAAATTGCAAATGATAGGCCTTCAATAAGCAAAAAGAGCATGAAGATCACCAATGCTGGAGAGGAGTATTCACTGAAAACCGCCCCCCGCCACTCTTCGTTCACGCATTAGATAAAATGATTCACACGAAGGAACAGGGCGTGAACAGATATCACAGCAATGTAAAACGTGAACAGAACGAAATATTTCTGATTCTTTTCACTGACACAGTTATTCACCCACGGGCAATGATGATCCATCTTTTTAATGCATCTCTGACATATGATGAACAATGATGAGCTTGTTCCGGCTTGATAGAGCAACACTTGGGACACTTGAAAACGACATCGCCTTCCTCAAAACCCATTTTCTGCATCATTTCACGGGTGGCGCTACCTTTCGGAACTGCTCCTGGATCTGTGAGCATTGCTCTTGCGTGGGACGCGGCGGCAAGAAAAGCGAGGCAATTAAACACAACCAAATTGATGAAATTGTACAACGGTGGGAAACCACTTCCCTTCCAAGGCAGAATAACCTGAGGACAAGTATGTAGGAATACACAGCATTGAAAAGGCAGTTGTAATCGAGAAAACTTACCACGACAACCACGAACCCCGCATACAACAGTAGTCCCCAAGTCATGAGAACGCAAATAATGCCACAGACATCTCGGATACACCAAAAACGTTTGTTACAGCAAGTATTTTGCGAATCGAAGGCGTCGGACACTGGGGCAATTTGATCACCATGCTCACTGCCTGCCACACCCGCCTCCACATGCACTCTGAAGCTCATACTCAATGGTTAAAAATTCCTTCTCACATTTCAGTCTGAAAAAGGCACAGGTATCCTGAGACCTGTACGGAAATAGAAAGCACCGGCAATAATTCATGACATTATATCAAAACCTTCACAGCACGAACTCAGTAACCCTCAAACTCTTCTCTTTCAGAGCCAGCAAGTTCCCCCCACTCGTTGATTGACTTCATTTTTCGTGTAGGAGAGTAGGACTGATAATCACAATAAACTCAAGGGAAATTTATTCTTCATATCAGTCACAGGTTTCTGTTTGCTTTAAAAATACGATTGCTATTATTCCATACACTCAAAATAATCTTGTTGATCATTGAATGGTTTACAAACTGACTTAAGTGAGCTACTTATACAGTACTATACAGTATATAAAAAACCATGCGATTTCATATGAGTAAAAAAAGCAAGTTGTCAACTAGCATTAAAATAAGAAAAACTAACTTGTGAAGATCCTCCGACCTTGATTTGTGCCTTTCCCTTGACGAGGGTAGCTGCTATTTGCATTATGATTGCTTCCACCGTGTATGCTGAGCTCCAGCCCTGTTTGGTGAGCAGCTTCATGCAAATGGCACCACCAATAAGTACCTTGCCATGTACCCACCTCTGATTATTGGATGCACAACCAGGACAAACTGAGGATCAAATGGGTAAGAGTCCTAAAAGATAAAAATGTAATCAAATGTAATCAAAAGTGTAATCAATTACATTTTTGCACTGATGTACAAGAGAGAAGTATGTGACAAAGAAATGAAGTATATATTGTTTAAATATTTGCATACATTTATTTAAAAAATGATGTTATTTGGTTACAGCACTGTCAAAGCCTTGCAGAACTGTTCTGCAAGGTTATGGGGCATTTTTAACCTTGCAGCAGAGTTCTGCAAGGTTATGGGGCATTTTTAATCTTGCATAAGAGTTCTGCAAGGTTATGGCCCTCTGCAAGGTTATGGTCCTCTGCGAGGTTATGGCCTTCTGCAAGGTTAAGGCCCTCTGCGAGGTTTTGGTCCTCTGCAAGGTTATGGCCCTCTGCGAGGTTGGAGTAACCTGGCAGAACTGTGTTGTGTGAAATGTGTCCTCTGCGAGGTTATGGCCCTCTGCGAGGTTGGAGTAACCTGGCAGAACTGTGTTGTGTGAAATGTTTTGAAGAGATTGAATGTTGTTTTGAAGAGTTTATGATTGTATACATTTTTGCACTGATTAACAAGAGAGTGAAGTATGTGACAAAGAAATGAAGAATATATTGTTTAAATATTTGCATACATTTATTTAAAAAATGATGTTATTTGGTTACAGCACTGTCAAAGCCTTGCAGAACTGTTCTGCAAGGTTATGGGGCATTTTTAACCTTGCAGAAGAGTTCTGCAAGGTTATGGGGCATTTTTAACCTTGCAGAAGAGTTCTGCGAGGTTATGGCCCTCTGCGAGGTTATGGTCCTCTGCGAGGTTATGGCCTTCTGCGAGGTTATGGCCCTCTGCGAGGTTATGGTCCTCTGCGAGGTTATGGCCCTCTGCGAGGTTGGAGTAACCTGGCAGAACTGTGTTGTGTGAAATGTTTTGAAGAGATTGAATGTTGTTTTGAAGAGTTTATGATTGTATACATTTTTGCACTGATTTACAAGAGAGTGAAGTATGTGACAAAGAAATGAATATATTGTTTAAATATTTGCATACATTTATTTAAAAATGATGTTACTTGGTATTTGGTTACAGCACTGTCATAACCTTGCAGAAGAGTTCTGCTAGGTTATGGGGCATTTTTAACCTTGCAGAAGAGTTCTGCGAGGTTATGGCCCTCTGCGAGGTTATGGTCCTCTGCAAGGTTATGGCCTTCTGCGAGGTTATGGTCCTCTGCAAGGTTATGGCCCTCTGCGAGGTTGGAGTAACCTGGCAGAACTGTGTTGTGTGAAATGTTTTGAAGAGATTGAATGTTGTTTTGAACTGTTTATGATTGTATACATTTTTGCACTGATTTACAAGTCTCTCAAGCATGGGCACAAGAGAGGGACTGCAGCCGCCTGGGGAGTGGGACTGGGGAAAGGGGGAGCAGCTCCTTTCTGGTGGCTCATTTTTAGCTCCGGCGAGATGTCCCTTCACGGAAATCTTGTCGCCAGTTTGCAAGCTTTACATGATCAACAAGGCGGTTATCCTCATTCAAAATTGCAAGGGTACACCCTCAGACAACCAGGTAAAAACACCAATTGTGGTCCAAAAAATCCTTGGAAAGACCCAAAACTAGAGGTTGATGATCTGAAAATGCACCCAGCAACTCAATCAATGATTGGAAGAGACCTATTAAAAACCTTCTGACCAATAACTGAGTTTCTGAAAGAAACATCTCAGCAAAAACCTCAAAACAAGAGCACACTTTTCCGCCAACTTCGGCAAATGAAACAGCACCTTCTGAAGAAAGTTCAGAAGGATTGAAAATTGAAGAACAGTAATCACTGAAAAAGAAGCTTAAGATGGGTGACCACCTTAAAGACCTCTGATTCAACTCTGAATCAGAAGGTTCCAAAACCCACATGGAACTCGAGAAAGTTGGGCCGCTTGAGGTTCAACTTAAAGGAAGCGACATCTAATCTCGCAAAAACCAACCCTCATAAAACCCAACAAAGGTAACCTAGAAACTACTCAACCAAGAATGACTAAAACCCAGACTCTTCTTAGAAAACCTTCCTACAAAAATCTAATTTGACAAAAAATCTCTCGACCAGAAGTACTTGGTCTCAAAGGTTGACTGAAAAACCCTTACATTCTTGCCAACTATGGCACACTCAAAGCACTGAGTTCTGTCTTGCCAACTGTGGCCTGCTTGAAGCACCAAGAAAAATTACTGACAACGAGTTGGGCAGGATTAGCTACCCTGCCCTTGGACTTGTACAAACTGAATAACCTTTTGTTCCAAAACACTTTTTGACAAACACTTCTTCAACAGCAACAGAGTTCAAGCCTTGATTGGGAGCATCACCAAAGTCAAGAACCAGACAACAAGACAACGTCTGATTCCCAACTCCAGGAACTCCTTCACTTGGCAATCTCCACTCAAGCACTGTGACTTTTTCAAAAATTTGCAGCCTTTTATTTTTGCTGCATCTTGAAAAAACCCCTTCCGGAAAAAGGGGTCATTCAAGGATGTGGGGAGATTTTGTGCGGAATTTTCTTGCAGCCCTGCTTTGAAACAAGGCGCCAAAACTGAGCCAAAATTGTAATCTAATTGGCGCATCCCAAGATGCGCCAAAACAAACAAAAGATAAGACCATTCCCAAAAACTGGGGTGTCTTAAAATAAAATGCAAGACAAATTGACAGAACAAAAGTCACCGAGACCAGAAAAGGAGAACAATCCCAGGAAACGGGACAAAAACAATCACCAAAAAAGTTGGCGCCTCCTTTTAGCAGGGGGACATCAACTCTCCTGCAAAACTTGGGGTCATTCAACCCCTCAAGATTTTGCAGAAAAACACAGCCAGCTGTTGACGACATGGACTAAAATCAGTCTCCTCTATTGTAAAACTATTCATCTCCCAAACTCGGGACTTTTTGAGCAGTCAAGTCTTCAAATTTCAAAACATCCAACTGACAATTTTATAGCTCTTCACAACTGTGCAAAATACTCAAAATGTCAAGAATCATGTTTTCACACAGAAAAATCATTTCAAAGACAATTTGAGGGACTGTAAACACCACCCAGTTTCAGGAAAATTATGCACTTGTAAAATTTGGCAAAAACAACAGATGCCACCTGGTGTTTTCACATCTTCTCAACAAGAAAAACCGCGCCAAAACTGGTGCAAAAATTGATATATAAACCCCTAGAATTGGGCAACAGACACAGTCAAGTCTAGAAGGTCAAACTGCTGAAGTTGTGTTCCAAAATTTACCAATTTTGATACTCTGAAAAAACCAGTGTTCATCAGCTTGATTTTAACACGTCTAGCAAACTCGGCGCATCTCTCCCTCCTTTTTTCTTTTTGAGATCTTTTATGTTTGGAAAACTTGAAATTCAACTTAGAATTTTCATTGCTCATATTTTTTCTGCTTGAAACAGTGTTGGAATTTATTGACAAATTGGGAAACTAAAACTGAACCAAAAAACCAAAGCTTAAACGGACTCAAGTCCATTTCTGAACACCTTGAATTCCTTGCATAAAGATTCAAGAAGGTTCAGTGTGACATAATTTTGAGCATGTGTGTGTATACTCTTCCTGTACAAATTGTTTGCAATTATGTGTGTATGTGTGTGTGTGCCTCAAAGAAAGGTCTGCGCTAGAAGGGAGAAATCCCAGGTTGGTTTGCGCCCGACCAATTGCCGTGTTTGATTTAATTGATCAACTGTAGTCTGAAACTTATTGTCTACAAGAACTCTGCTGAACTAATCAAGGTGTAAGGCTTGATAAAATTCCATCTCTAATTGTAAAACCTTACACTTTATTGGTGTAAGAAATACAGAGTCATTTTTATCTCTTAACTATCAACCAAGACTAAAGACTGGTGATACTCTAAAAGAAAGCTCTGTACAAACCATACGTATTTATTTACCCTCCCCAAACTTGGGGAAACTCGTGGGCCCTGTTTGGCTTCTCTTAAATATGAGTCACCAGAATATGGGTCACCCATCCCCTTATTCTTCCCTCACTTTTATCCAACAGAATTTTAGAGTTGAATGGGCCAGAACATTGGCAAAGAATATCATTAAAAATTGTGTTAAGTGTAGACAACTTTATCCACCTAACTCTCCTAAAGGGGGGGATCCTCTCCTTTGCTGTTCCAAAAAACAATCACCCTAATTTCAGGTGACTTTGTGCAGAACAATTGCACCCCTCATAAGAGGGGGGAGGTGAGACCTGCATGAATCCTTTGCAGAGACCAATGAGCAATTTTCTCATCCCTTCTTGAAAAAACAATAATCAATAAAGATTATTGTTAAGATATAAGATTATTGACTTATCATCAGTCCCAGAGATGGGGAGATGAAAATAAAATATTGAGGAAAACAGACAGTTTGTTTTTGACTTTACAAATCTTTTATTGACCAACCCAACACCCAAGTTTTCCCTTCACCCACATATCAACAAAATCATACAACATCAAGATCAGTATACAACAAATTGTACAAGGATTACACTTCAGGGTTCTCCTCAGAATTTGATAAGATTTTTAATATGGACAAAGTCCAGGCCTCCCTCTCCCAACACCCAAAAGAAATCCCCAGCCTTTGAAATAATGAACTTCTTCATGCGCGACCCCCTGACCCTGACTGTTGATCCTATGACCATCCTTGGAGAGCTGAAGTGTTTTGGATCCAAGACCAAGAACTCATCCACTGAGAACACTTCCAGAAACATCTTGGCACTCAGTACCTTGTCCATCCTGTAATACAGCAAAATTTTTCACTTCATTAAGATACATTCTTTGTTAGATTTTTCATATCTGTGTACTCACTGCCTGAAGGGATCTCCTCCAGCCCCAAATACTGCAGGATTTATGTGGAACAGGCTGTTCCCAGTACAATCCTCTGGACCCTGGTCCGTGCAGTGAAAATGAGGAAGACCCGGGGGGATCCCCGGACAAGCTGTTCCATCCTCTAACCACTGAGGACATCTCCCTGCAGAGGCGTATGCCCCCATGTCCTCTCCTGGCATTGAGTCGACTCAAGGCCAAAGCAGATTGCTGCAGCATGCAATTGAGCAAAAAATAGGTAAACACGTGAATGAATGTGACCAAAAGATAAATTGGTCCTTTCTGTCTGATCATATGCTGACAAGTGTTGAACCGGTGTAGGCACCGCCCACCATCCCTTTCCTTCAGAGGATCCTTGTTTTCTCCCAATCTTTGTCCGCAGCCCTGTGTAAAGGGCCATTTGAAATGCATGTGCTGCAGAATCCCTGCTTCTCTGATCATAAATTGGCGTTCCTCTGTATTGCAGAGGGATCAGGGGGACTCCCTGTACATCCAAATCCATGGGTTCAGTCAGAAATGTTGTACATCCCTGGCCCAATGCTGGGAGAGCAGATGCCCCCAGAGCTATCATCGGAGCATCAAATGCCTTGCGCTTAACTCATCTTAATAACTATATAATTCCTGGAGGAAGTGCCCAAAATTGGAATATTTAGTCATTCCTGGATTGGTCAGATTTTTCAGGTCATTTGTCCCTACCCTCACAAATACGTGAGTAAATTTAAATGTTGGGTCCAAATTAAGATCCCTAGAAACCCTTAGCCTCATTGCCGCTGGACTGACCACTTGTCCTGATCCAACCAAGGCACTCCAGTCACTTAAGGAATACTGAAAGGAACAAAAAGGATAAAATCGTAAAAAACATTTCAATTCTCCTATATGTTTATTTCTTGTTTACGTGAAAGACCTCAATGCCCCTTCCTTCTAACACATGTTCAAAATTAAAAACAGGACAAGTTGATGTCTTCTCAGGCCTGACATTATTGCAAAACGTCCTTCTCCCTGAAGCCAACCTCCATGGGATGGTTAGTGATGTCCCCAATATCAGAATATAAGGTCCCAGGCCTTCATTCCTTATCTTTGGCCCAGTGTGCTTGTTGGCAGGAGTCCTGTAGTCCATGTCCTGAACCACACACCCAGGAACTGGGAGGACAAACATCAGAAATCTTTCCAACTTGTGAGGATCAATCTTCATCCTCTTAAAAACATTTTTCTTGTAAGTCACTGCATCCATTGGCTCAAACTGGGAGCTCTTGGAGATTTGTGTGCCCTATTAAAATTTTAGAATTTATTAACTATACATCTGTTTATTACATTGAGTTTTTTACCCCCTGTCCCATTAAAACACACATGGCTGCAAAACATCCAACAAATGCTCCTCTTCATCCACCCTGAAGTCCCTAATTTTTGATACCCCTGGCAATGCTGAGGGTTGAGGAACTCCTCCTTGAATGGGAGCAAATCTCCTTTTATCTGCTTGGATTGTGGCTACCTGTAGTTCCATTGGTTTAACACCTTCCTTTTTCTCCCCCATCAAGTCCACTTCCACTACCTCCATAGAGGTCCTTGGGCGCTTTGCTGTTGTTGACTATGGACCCTTCAGCAGGGTGAGCAACTCCACTATTGCCCTCTTGTATCCTGATCTCTCTCTTGAGGCTTCTACCGCCTCTTTCATCCAGCATTCTTTGATTGCTTGTGCGCTCCTGAAATAAATTTTTGTAGATCCTGTGGTCCACGTTTGAAGATCCCCTGCAGGGAAGGCTAAAAAAAAATCCACATACAATTCAATTCTCTCTAACCCCAGGAACTGGGTTGGTTTAATGTTTACCTCTAGCCACTGCTGTTACAGGGACTCCCTCAGCCAGGTAGAGTTCATTTATGCCACTCAATGCCCCCTGAAATACACTGGCATGTTGTTCCAACTGGCTCTTAAGCAGAAAAATCAGATTCTGATTCTCCTCTCTTTCCCTTAACATGTCCAAGGTTTCCTGACTCTTTTCCAGCTCAACCTTCTGCTCCTCAAGACTCTTATTTTCAGCTAAAATAGCTTGCAATACACGTTGTTGAGACAAAATATTCTTGGCGTACTGTTGGGACTCTTTCCTCAACCTTTCTAATTCCACCTTTAATCCATCTTTGGCCAATTTTGGCATTTTTCTTGGCCTCAAGAAATGGTAAAAAAAAATCCCCCATTTGCCTCAAACTCTCCTCCAACAACGTCTGCAACTTTTTTTGCCATGCCCTCTGCCAATTTTGGCAATTTTACCACCACTTCCAAACTTTCTGGACTCAGGTTTAGTGAGCCTCCCTCACCCACCTTGGGATCCTCCAGCATTTCTGATAAACCTATGTAAAAGAATTCTGATAAAGTTTGAGACTCCTAAAAGGGGGGGGGCAGAAATTGCAAATATTTACCCTCTTTTGGTGATTCTATCTCATCCTCATCCTCGGATTCTTGAATCAAAATTGGGAGCGCAGAAACCTCCCCCTGTTTGTCCAAAGCCTTGATATATAAGACTCATTGGGCTCTTTGTCATTTACAAAGGGCTCCACAACTTTATTGGGCTCTGCCATGATTAATTCACTTCTCTTCTCAAATCCTCCAACAAAAAGGGAAATCCTTTACTGTTTCTCTCCTAAAAAAGGGGTATAATAAAATATATTTTTCAATAATAAATGAAGAATCATTCAATAAGAACCCTCAAACAGGCAATAAAACTCCTATGCGCTACAACATTATAATAGAATACCCTTGAGATAAACACAATTTTGTCCTGCTCAGAGAATTTCACCAGTACTTATCTTCAAACCACTTAAGAAGGGAGGAGCTTCAAAAACCAACTCCACCTCAAAATTGATCTGAAAGCAAGTCACTGGAACTGATTCAGCACTTGAACTCTTCTTAAAAACTTAGGCGCCTTCTGACTTCTTGATATACTTCTACCAGCTATGGTATACAACCTGATCAGTAGGTCTTCAAGGTATTGGAGAAAACAATTATCCAACCTGAGAACCAGGTCAGCAAAGTTTAAGGGGACTACACTCAACCTGCACAAATCAGGTCTTTGAAGAAAACCAAAATCTTGTGAGAATTTGGGATTAGCTATACCCCTAATTCTCACTAAAAAAGGAGAAAAGGTTACTTTCTTTAAATGCCCTTCAAAAATTTATCTCTTCTATATTTATTTTTGAAAAAAGGTTCACTCAAGGATCAAGCCCTTCAGCAAAAATCTCCAAGTCAGAAGCCTGATGAACTAAATCAACATCCAACTTCTGACCAAGATCCTCACCGGACTTCAGCCAAGGAACGACTATGAGTTATTCATGCCCTTTTTATTTGCATTGTCCTGAGCAACCCCTTCCAAAAAAGGGGTTACTCAAGGACAAGGGGGGGATTTTGTGCAGAATTTTTTCCAGCAAAGGACGCCGCTGCAAAAGGAAGAGAGACGCTGACTTTTAATTTAATTGGCGCATCTTGGGATGCGCCAAAAAAGGACAAAGAATGAGGAAAAATTGTTCCCGGGAACCGGGGCAGCATGAGACAATAGCCAAAATTGGCAAAATCAAGAGAGAAGGAAAGAAAATCCCGGCAACCAGGGCAATTTGAGCTGATTGTAAAAATTGGCACGCTGTTTAGAAAAAACAGTCTCTGGTCTTGAATCTGGACAATTTAACAGGGCAAAACACTGCCAGCTGCTGGCCAAATGGGCGGAAATGCATTGTCTCCCATGAAAAAGAATTTGTCTTCCCAACCAGAATGACTTTGTAAGGTTTTACAAGTAAAATTGGATTAATCAAGCCTTACACCTTGATTGCAGTTTTTTAGCAGAGTTTTCAAAGTTCAAGGATTTCAAATTATGGCTGAATAAATCAAACACGGCAATTGGCCGGGCCCAAACCAACCAGGATTTCTCCCTACTAGCGCAGACCTTTCTTTTCCAGTAAAAAACAGTACAAGAGAAATTGTACACAACAATGTAACAATACAAAAAGTTTTCACACACACAAACACAGTTCTCAATTCTCAAATATTCAGTACACAGATCGTTTGATATGAGGACTCCAAAGGTGGAGAAAATTGAGGTTCACAGGATAAGAATTTTTGTACGCAAGTTTGCTCTTAAGATTGTTAGAGTTATGAATGCAGAAACTTGATTCTTCTTCTTAAATACAAAGTGAGATGCAGAAATACATTCACAATTAAAGCCTTGTCAAGGAAAATATTTTACAGAGCAGAAGAGTATTCCAGATCTGGATTTTTCTTATACAGTACACTCAACACAAAATAGATATTGACTTCTGTAAAGTCCACAGGGCTTCCGAATTCTGTAAAGTCCGAAAGGTTCCCAAATTTCTTAAAGTCCAAAAGGTTCTAAAGTTTCAATAAGTCCAAAAATTCCGAATTTGCGTCCGCAAAAATTGCTTGGTGACTCTCAGGATTCGACTGTGTTTGTTACGCCAAATTCGGGGGTTTTTATGTGTTTTTGCGCCAGTTTTGGCGGGCAAATTTTTTGGGTGGCAAGTTCACAACACCAGGTGGTGACGCTTGCTGTCGAGGTTTTTACAATTTTGTTTTGACTATATGTTTCAGAGCATGTTTTGCCCAAAAACCGGGTGTTTTGGTTTGCGTATATTGCCAAAAATTTTTGGCAAAAGGATAATATTCTAGCAGATTGACTTTCTGAGTCCTTTTCAGGGGAGATTTTGACAGCCCTACATCACTTTACTTTAGAAGACAAATTGTCTTTTCGAGAAATGCAAGACAATTTTTTGCACGTTGCCAGCAGCTGGCCATTTCTTTTTGCGCTTCTTGAGGGGGTCGAATGACCCCCAAGTTCTGAGAAAAATAGATACTCTCCTGGCTACAACCGAGGGTGCCGTCTTTCGTAATTGTTTTTATCCCCAACTTTGGGGTTGTTTCTTTTCTTTTTGGTGTGTTTTGCCAATTTGTCTTCATTTTGCAGACACCCCAGTTTTTGGGGATTTGCTTTCTTATCTCCCGTTTGTTTCGGCGCATCTTGGGATGTGCCAATTAAATTACATTTTTGGCCTTCTCCTTGGCGCCTTTCTTTTGTGCATCCCATTTCTGGGGATTTTCGTTGTCTTAATAGTTTTCTTCGCAGCAAAAAGTGCGCGGATTGAATTACGAGTCAGCTCGTTTTGTTTCAGATTTTGACTCTCAAAGGGAGTCGCCAAAAATTTTGTACAGACTTCAAGCTGTCAAAATTTGGGGACTTTTTCCAGAAGACCAATCTTCTGGGGCAATACTTCAGCACTAAAATCTCTTAGCTAAAATAATAAAACTACACCCAGTAACTGGGGAAAAAACCATGTACAAAACTTCTCAAAACAGCCCTAAAATTCTGTTGATAGCTGCCAACATCTGCCAAATTTGCTGACTTCAACAAACCCAGCACCTGGGTGTTTTTTCTGACCGGAAAATCCCACCAAAACAGGCTAGGGGAATTGTATAAAACCCCCAAAAATCAAGCAACAACACACAGTCCAAAATTTGTCATCAAAGCCTTACATTGTGTTTGTAATTTGTGTACTTTTCAAAAGAAGCCTAAATCCACAAAAACTGTTGTGAAAATTGCTGTACTTATCTCAGTGTGAATACTTATATCTGTACTTGTGTTTTATTTTGTTGAATTGTTGAACAAAGGCTTGCACTTGTTGGGGAGAGAATCCCTGGTCAGTTTGCGCACCAACCAATTGCTGTGTTGTACTTATTTATTTACTCCTGTTTTATAAGATTGCTGCTTACGGAGGATATCAAGAAGATCATTTTAAATTACATATCCTCAACTCCTAATTATCCTAAGATACTTACAAGGTGTATATATGGCTTGTCTCAAACTAATTGTTTTGTCTCAATAAAACTGTACAAGTGTATAAGATTAATTTTATTAGCACCAATATTACCAATAAGGACATGTAAATCATGTTAGTACAGTTGATGTTCTTGTGTTAAACCATCTAAAATGTGTTCTGAGGTGCTTTGAGTCATTATCACCTGAGGTCAAAATTATGTGATTGAAAAAAAAAAGATTTGCAATCTGACATTGGCAAATGAATCTTGTACCACGTGTTAAAGGACGCAAAGAGCAAGTTTTCTTAAGACATTCAGAAAATCTGAATGTAGGTCATGTATGCCTCACCTGAGTGATATGATGCTACCAATGTACATTGGATTTGACAAAGACCAGTCCTCCTGTAATCTGTAATGCACAAGAACAACAAATGCTGCATCTTCATCATCTTTTGTCATCAATGCCCGTTGAAGATGGGTCTCAGAGGGTTTGTCAGCTTTCCTAGAATTTGACCCTGGAATGGAAAAAAAGAAAAGTTTAGATGCTGTATTATAGGGAATGAAAAACAAATGAAAAACAGCAAACACTTTCATCTCAGGCTCCAGAATTGGAAGGTTCTACCTAAAAAGCTTCCAAGTGTTTCCCAAAGTGTTTTAAGTACTGTACAATCTCACCCAGCAGATTTGGGTAACAAGAAATGTGGATGCTGATGAAGAAATCCCTGGTACCCATACCTGCTGGGTACCTGAATGACATTTTCAAGCCTAGACTTGGGCTTTAGAAGCTTTTCCTCTTGCAAAATTGGTACAATAATTGTTGCATAATTACCTAATTAAGTAAACATTTATTCTGCTCACTGATTCTAGGTA